GGACGCCGCCGGCATCCCTGAAAATCCGGGGGGAAAAGTTGTTTTCCCTGGCTGTGGGATTGGGGGGAATCAACTGACGACTGTTGGGGGCGGGTGTGGTGAATCCATCCCGGGTGAATCCCCGTGGATCCGTCCCTTAGGTCGGGTGGGGTGGTGCATTCCGTGGGGTTTGACCGCGTGCCGTGTGTTCTCAGGGATCAGAAGGCCACGGAGCAGCTGACGAGGACCCTGCGGGGCGTGATGCGCGTGGGGCTCGTGGCCAAAGGCCTCTTGCTCAAGGGGGACCTGGACCTGGAGCTGGTCCTGCTGTGCAAAGACAAACCCACGGCCAAGCTCCTGGAGAAAGTGGCCGACAACCTGGGGGTGCAGCTGGCGGTGAGTGGGGCCGCCGGAATTCCTTTGGGATCGCTCCTTTGGGATCCTTCCGGCTCGGGAAAGTCGTTTTCAGAGGTTCTTCGGGATTGTTAAATGAACTTCTCCTCATTAATCATGAAAGGTTTGGGTTGGAAGGGGCCTTGGAGCTCATCCCATCCCGCCCCTTCCACCAGCACACCTTGTGCTATCCCGAGTTGCTCCAAGCCCCATCCAACCTGGCCTTTGACACTTCCAGGGATGAGGCAGCCACAGCTTCTCTGGGAAGCCCCAGCCCAGCCCCTCACCACCCTCACAGGGAGGAATTCCTTCCCAGTATCCCATCGAACCCCGCCCTCTGGCAGTGGGAAGCCATTCCCCTGGTCCTGTCCCTCCAGACCCTTGCCCAAAGTCCCTTCCCAGCTCTCTTGGAGCCCCTTTAGGAGAGGGCCTTTAGGCTCCCCCCGGGAGGGGCTCTAAGGTCTCCCTGGAGCCTTCCCTTCTCCAGTTGAACATCCCCATCTCTCCCAGCCCGTCCCTGGAGCAGAGGTGCTCCAGAGCCATGGAATCATGGAATGGTTTGGCTTGGAGGGGACCTCAAAGATCCCGCATGTCCGGGGATCTCCAACCCTCTGCCGTGGGCGGGCAGACACCTCCTGCAGCTCCAGGCTGCTCCAGGCTGCTCCAGGCCGCTCCAGGCGCTGGGCTTTGGCCGGGAAGGGCCGCGGGAAGTCTCCCGGCTGCCGCGGGAAGTCTCCCGGCTCGGGAGCTGAGCGGGGCCGTGGCGTTGCAGGCGATCACCGAGGACAAGTACGAGGTCATCCAGTCGGTGGGCGACGCCGCCATCGTCATCAAGAACACGAAGGAGCCCCCGCTGAGCCTCACCATCCACCTGACGTCGCCCGTGGTCCGGGAGGAGCTGGAGAAGCAGCTGGCCGGAGGTACGGCCGGCCCGGGCCCGGCAGGGCGCGGCGGAGCACCGGGAAAGCGTGCTCTTCAGCTTCAGCCGGAGCCTGGCAGCTCCCTCTGGGCCAAATTCCAGCGGAAAAAATTCCTTAGTTCCGCCAGCCTCGTTACGATCCCCGGTTGCGGTTTATCCGGGCCGAGCGCTCGGAAGCTGAGGAGCACCTTTCACGTGGGATTTTGCTCTTTTGGTTTTTTTTTTATTTATTTAATTTTTTTTTCCCGAGTACCGTTATTATTTTATCCTTTGTTTTGGTTCCACTTGGGCCTTTAGTTCACTAATTCATCATCTCGTTGTATTTACTCGTGGTTTGTCCCCGGCCATGTCAGTGCAGTGACATGAAAACAGAAAGCGGATTTGTTTAAAAAAAAAAACAAAACACCCCCCAAAAAAACACACCACCCTCTCGAAGGCTTCTTGTCCGAGGAGTTGCATGTCCATGAACCGGGATGTTCCGGGATGTCCCCCCGGTGTGTGTTGCAGCAGAACGACGGGTGTGCTCGGGGCCCCTCCCGCGGCTCTCCCGGCACCTCAGGTTCAGTCCTCCGGAAAGCGATGCAGAGTTTTGGATAAAGTTAGCTCCTCCAAATTCCCTTTGGGGGTCAACAGTTCCGAACAGCCGCCGGTTGTTCGCTCCGATTCCGATGGGCTCCGTGGGGCCGGCGGGTCCCCCGCTCCGCACTAGCCTTATCTAAAACCCTGATCTCCAGCAGCTTCGGGCGACTTTCAGGCCCTTCCTCAGTTTTGCTGCAGCACAGACCGGGGCCCTCGTTGTGCTCTTGATTGTTGATCTCTGGTGTTGACCTCTGACCTCGTCTCCGAGCCTTCTAGTTTGTCGATTTTAGGGACGCTGGACCTTTGACCAACAGGACGTTCTCTGTCGCGGGCCGGGGCCGGGGCAGCCATCCTTCCGGGCGGAGGGTTCCCTGGATCCCCTCCCCTCCCGCCCACGCTCCGGGCGCAGAGCCGGGGGGTCACGCACCTTAAATTCCCCCCCGGTGACCCCTCCCGGCCTCGCTGCCGCCTCTCCCTCCAGCAGGGATCTCTGTCCCCTCCACCGAGCCTCTCGCTCCTCCTCCTCCTCCCTTCTCCTCCTCCTCTTCCTCCTGCCTCCTCCTCCTCCTCTTCCCAGAGCGCATTCCAGCCCATCCATCCCTGGGAATTGAGCTTCCCCCCCTCTCTGCAGCCGCACGCCCCGGGCGAGGCCGCGCGGCGGCAACGCCGCAGCCCCTTCCTTCCCTCCCGCTCCCGGCATCCCGGCAGGATTCCTTGGGAGCCTCAGCTGCCCGTTTAGGATGCTGCCTCCTCCCCCTCGGCCCGACAGAAGCCCCTTGGTCAAACCGTGCCTTGTCTTCTTATTCCATCCACGACTAGAAACGCTCTCAGTCACCGACTCCCCGGACGTTCTGGACAGGCAGAAATGCCTTGCTGCCTTGGCGTCTCTGCGCCACGCCAAGTGGTTCCAGGTTTGCATTTTGTTCTTATATTTATCTTTAAGTAGAAACATTGGTAAACTCTTTTAAGGGGCTGAGTGTTTTTCGGAGCTGGAGTGGCCGCCGGCCGCTCGGAGGTGCCGGACTTAGCGGCTGTGGGCGGCACAGCTGCTAAAGAGGCGCCGCGGTGACACTTTAGGAGCCTTTTTTTTTTGTTTTTTGGTGCGGAGCAGCCGCGGAGCTGCTGCTTTGTGTGAGGAGTCAGGTCGGCGTGGCCGTGCCCTCGGCGTGGCCGTGCCCTCGGCGTGGCCGTGCCCTCGGCG